GTGTGTGTGTGTGCATGTGTGTGTGTGTGTGTGTGTGTGTGTGTGTACCGTTAACAAAACATCTCACGAATCACTGAACGGTTGTTAATCAAACTTCCAGAAAGTAATCACTGGGTTGAACTTGGGTAAGCTGGATTCAAGATGGCCAGGTCTCTGGTCTTAACAGGTCTCTTGTAAATGAGTCCTCGAGGCTCAATGATACTAACCCGTACAAATAAAGGTGGAATTTAAAAAATTGGCCGACATAGCAAAGCCACTTAAGTGTCATCCCCATGATTGCAAAAGACATGTAAGAGATAGGGCTGGACAATAATTCGATATCGATATATATCACGATATACTTTTATTCAATAACGGTGATATGAGTTTTAAGCACATTTTTGATATTTTGAAATGATTACAGCGTTTCACTGACGCATTTCTTTTTCTGTTCGGGTTGAAGTGGCCGCTTCAGTTTCAACCCGAACAGAAAAAAGTGTGACACAACTACGTAAGTGCGTGGTGACGTAGATGTTACGCAGAGCTCGAGTCCAGAAGGAGTCAGTGGTAGCAGGCTAAGCTAGGCTAATCTCCAACGCGCTGTATGTTTTTGCTTCAGAATGAGTTCCCACGACCGTCAGAATGTGTCTGAACGAGCGAAGAGAAAGCAGCTGATGTAACTGATGAGAGGAAAGACTAATTTGGCCGTGTGGAAGTGGTTCGGCTTTCTAAGATCCGGTAAACTGCAGGTTTTAGTGTCCTGCAAAATGTGACGGAGAGTCGTTCCAACTAGCGGTGGGAACATCTGACTTGTTCCACTCGATAGAAGATGCTGAGAGTCAGAAGATGAAGCACAATAAAAGTTTGAGCCAAAGTGTCCCAACGTTTAAAAGATGAACATTAATTTATTTCTACAGTTTTTCTGAGATTTTTATAGTGTTTATTTCAATATCGGAATCATATCAGAATTATATCGTTATCGATCGAAATTAAGAAATACATCACGATAAAAGATTTGACCATATCGTCCAGCCCTAGTAAGAGATAAAAAAGACATGTAAGAGATAAAAAAGACATGTAAGAG